GGGGGGGGGGGGGGGCAGAAAGTGAGGAGGAAAACAGATGACAAAACATATTGAGCTAGGAGGTGAAAAGAGAAAACTTTAGAGAAGAAAAATGTCTGTCCCAGTCATGTTTCAGACCTATTGAATGAGAGGCAAACACTGTAACTCTAAACTCTATAGACCACGATCAGAGCCCCCCCCCCCAGAAAAACGTGTATTATTCGCTAGATCTAGTTAAGTTATATTATAGCAAGGTTTAACAATGTTTCGTCCTCCAAGGTTTAACAATGTTTCGTCCTCCAAGGTTTAACAACAATGTTTCGTCCTCCAAGGTTTAACAATGTTTCGTCCTCCAAGGTTTAACAACAATGTTTCGTCCTCCAAGGTTTAACAATGTTTCGTCCTCCAAGGTTTAACAACAATGTTTCGTCCTCCAAGGTTTAACAATGTTTCGTCCTCCAAGGTTTAACAATGTTTCGTCCTCCAAGGTTTAACAACAATGTTTCATCCTCCAAGGTTTAACAATGTTTCGTCCTCCAAGGTTTAACAACAATGTTTCGTCCTCCAAGGTTTAACAACAATGTTTCGTCCTCCAAGGTTTAACAATGTTTCGTCCTCCAAGGTTTAACAATGTTTCGTCCTCCAAGGTTTAACAACAATGTTTCGTCCTCCAAGGTTTAACAACAATGTTTCGTCCTGGCATGACGGGACGAACAGTAACTAGGCTAATCGACTGCACTGTCGCATGTGTTGTGAAGAATTAGAGGAAGGAATGTGTAGAAGCAAACATTATAATATGTCTATGCTATGATAATAAGGCCCAAGGATAGATCTAGATCTAGATCAGGTCCTAGTAGACCCACTAGGCCCGCTACATTAGGCCCTTCTAGACCTAGAATCTAGATCTAGATCTAGATCTAGAATCTAGATCTAGTTCTAATCAGGACCTGGACACTGATACTAGATCTAGATCTAGATCTACAATCTATTATCTAATCTAGTTCTGGATCTAGATCTACATCTATATCTAGATCTATATCTCTAGGATTCTAGATCTAGGTCTAGAGTCCAGGTATTCTAGATCTAGATCTAGATAGATCTAGATATATCTAGATATCTAGTTAGGCCTAGATCTAGATAAGCCTAGATCTAGACTAGATCTACACATGAGAAAAACGATATTAAATAAGGTTAATGAAAAAGTACATGTGCAAATTCTTACATTTCAGGGTCCTTTGGAAAGCTAAAGAATGCTAGGTCTGGTAATTGTGCGATCTTGAATTGGCACGGACGCAGACTGCCGCAAAACACCAGTTACACTTGCGGGTGACTTGCGACTGCCGACAGCCGCCATTAGCTTTGTTTACCGCGCCTCGTTTCACGATCAGCTGGTGACCTGGATACGCGAAAAGAGGCTTCGTTTCCGCTCTCTATAATTAAATACTCTCTGCTAGAGTCAGAGACACTAAAACTAAAATATAATTAAATACTCTCTGCTAGAGTCCATACGAGGTCACGTGACACGGAAACTTTTGAGTTTGTTGGCGGCCATTTTTTAAGTGGCGAAAACGTTTGTTTACATGTGAGTGGGCGTGTCTCTGCTCTTACGTGTTTTAATTGATTCTAACGTTGTGTTTTAATCTAAAGTGATTCTCTTAAAAGTGTAAGCATATGAAACCTCTAGTCCCTTTCTGGATTAACGTCTTATTGGGTCCAATCGTGTGTTCGTTATATACACAGCTGCTTGGTTTTGGAGCTGTGATTAGAAAGCACAGTTGAGTATGAATTATAATTCTATCATGTACGCAGATGATACACAGTTGTACAAATCTGTTCCACCGCCAGATAATAATAATAATAATATATAACATTTATAGAGATGTTAAAACCTTGCCTACCACCATGGGTATGTCCATTGATGATGTCAAGAACTGGATGATTGATAATAAGCTCCAGCTTAATGAAAATAATACTGACATTCTTATAAAATATTATGTAACTCAAAGAAAAACGGCGCTTTTTCGGTAGTTCCCACCCCGCCATTGTTATTCGCGGGTTTTGGCCCCAAGAGTAGGATGGTTTCAAGGGGGCATGCCCCCCTGATTTTGCTATGATTTGATGTTTTGCAGTTGTTAGGTTTGATACCTTAGCTTGCCGCGCATCAAACGTAGATCTATAGACTATAGACCTAGATGTAGATCTAGGCTCAAATAAGGAGAGTGGGAACTACCAGAAAAGCCTTATCCACATAGACATCTAGATTCTAGATCTATATCTAGATCTAGATCATGTTAGTACGATGTATAAGCGTGTGCGTGTGATGTGTGTGTGTCTTTGTGTATGTGTGTGTGTGTGTGTGTGTGTGTGTGTGTGTGTGTGTGTGTGTGTGTGTGTGTGTGTGTGTGTGTGTGTGTGAATTTGCTCATACATGCATTTATGTAAAGCACCTAGAGCTGTGTTCGTGGGCGCTATAGAAATGATCTGCATGGTTCTTCTTCTTCTTCTTCTTCTTCTTCTTCTTCTTCTTCTTCTTCTTCTTCTTCTTCTTCTTCTTCTTCTTCTTCTTCTTCTTCTTCTTCTTCTTCCTCTCCTC